CTCCCCAACCTCTGTGGATGCAAAGGTAGTAACAGGCTTTCAAATATACACATAGTTGAGCAAGATTTAAAATTAGTGTCTTAATTCCTCTGACCCTTCTTAAAGCTATCATTTCTTCAAGACCTGGAAGGCCTGGACTCTGAAATTCCAAATCACCTGCATGATAGCACACATTCCGTTCAGTTTTCACAAGGACTGCATCAGGAGACCCAACTGTAGCATAGATTTCAAAGGGCATTTGCCCTTGCAACGCCCAGGGTAACAATGCGTTTGTGCTCTCCACTTCTCTGTGTTCTCTAAAAATCGAGACACCCTCTTAAGAAAATCAAGCCGAGGTCATCACTCAAGCTCTGTGCCCAGGGCAGATATCCCAGGAAAATGAGCTCGTGATTCAGAATGACTGTGGAAGAGCAAAGAGCCGGTTCTGACTCAAAGACTGAGCCCATTATAGAGGCTCTTAGTTTAGGATCAGCAGCGCTTATGGGAAAAGACCACTTGGTGAACATGTGAGAGGCCTTGTGAGCTGGTCACTGAACAACCGAGGGAGCTCCAAGTGAGCCTGTGATGTGCTGCGTGGCTGAGAACTCAGCCCAGGGGTGGGCAAACTTTTTGACTCGAGGGCCACAATGGGTTCTTAAACTGGACCGGAGGGCTGGAACAAAAGCATGGATGGAGTGTTTGTGTGAACTAATATAAATTCAAAGTAAACATCATTACATAAAAGGGTACGGTCTTTTTTTCTTTTAGTTTTATTCATTTCAAACAGGCCGGATCCGGCCCGCGGGCCGTAGTTTGCCAACAGCTGACTCAGCCCCTTTGAGTTTTTTCTTTCCCATCCACACGACAGAAGTTATTTATGAGCAGTGCCCAATATTCGTACTTATGGATGCTGCTCGGGAATCTGTCCGGCTGCCCTGGCCGGGGACTCTCATGCTATAATCAGGGCCTGGCTACGCAAACTCCTTCTTCAAGGCTTGGCCCTTACACGGGGCTGGGAAAATTCTCTGTGCTGGTTTCAGGTGGACGGATTCCGAGTTGGAGCTCCTAACACCTTCCCGGAAATGCCTGCCTCCCAATTCTATTACTCTAAGCATATAGCCACATATGTTCACTCTAAGACAAATGTAGACTGTATTTTTTCCATCATTCTCCTCCAGAAGTGAGTATACTAACAGTGAAAGTGAAAATAATGTAGAAAGGGAACCCTAGAGCTATAGTCTGTGCCTTGTCGACAAGCAGAAGGCGATGAGGGCATATCTGAGAGCAGCAACTCGGGCAAGATGCTACGTTGAAGGTCGAGAACTTAAATCTGTGACGCCACTACATGTGGAAAATAAACTGGCAAGACAAATTGCAAACTGGTGACTTCAGCCTGGCCATGTTTATATCACACCAGTGAAACCAGTTGGAAAAACAAAAATTGACTCATCTTAACTGTCAAGATGATACAAATTATGGCTGGCCTGCTGGTTTCCCTCTTCTTCTTTTTTAAGTAACAGAATCAAATAATTATTTAAGTAAATGTATTATCTAATTGTTGCTAACACGTGATAAAGGACCTTAACATTTTTAATCACTATCAACCCCGTTGCTTATACATAAACACATCATCCCTAACACTCTCTTCTGTTGTTTGCTTCTTTCAAATATTCCCTGATAGACTAAAAGGCATCAAGGATCGAAAAGACCTAGAAAAGTCAGACACTGCCTAGCTGTGTGCTTGGTGACAAGGCTCATGTTTTGCTGAAGCCACCGAAGATGCTGTTTACATCATTTTCAATTGCCCAACACTCTTGAGGAAATCCAGTTCCTGCTTTAAACTTGACTGACCCTTGGGCAACATTCAAACCCACCTGCTACCTAAACCCAGTAACAGATACAAGCAAGAGAGACCATGAAGCAGTAAAGGACAAAGCTGACCCAGAGAGATGCCTGCAGAGCAAGGCCAACTCAAAGTAGTGCTCCGCTCACAGGCATTATGATGACAATCTGCCCTTTATAGACAGGCAGGGAGTCTTTCATCTTCAAGATTTGCCAACACTGTGGCACTTCAATCCTCACAGCATCCTTGTGCGGTAGGCAGGTGGTATGAGTTATGATCCTTCATATTAAAGATGGAAAGGTGATAATGATGGTGATAAAATTAAAGCACATCAAACAGTATCAGCTCCATCACATCAAAAGACCCCTGGCTTTCTCAGGAAAAAAAGAAAGAAAAGTAAAGTAAAAGTGGAAATTTTCACATCTATTTTACTAAGTTTCACACTGATGTTAGGGTCTGACTAGTTTTGGAACTCTGAAGCATAAGGGGTTTAATTATTACATTGTTCTAAGGGGCAGAGCAGTCTCTTAGAAAGTCAGGCATTCTTTTTTAAGTGCTTTATTTATGAAAACACCAGCACAGTTGAGTCAAAAAGTATTCTCTTGGTTCCATGTGGTCCCATGGCCTCACCTAAGTGTGAGGAGGAGGTGACATCTGCCCAGGAGACTGAACAAACCTGCTCCTGGGAGGCCTAGAATGGCTGGGGACCTTCCCAAGGGAGAGACCTCCGGATAAATCAGAGTCCCGGGCACTTCAGCCCAACAGGGGAGCCCCCTTTGCAGAAAGCAGCTTCCCCGCGCCCTGGGGAAGGAAGAGAGTGGAAGTCGTTTCTGCCTTGGGACTTAAGAGCCAATGCAAAACTGAACACACCCCTAGACCCCACAGAACGTAAATAAAAAGCCAGAGTTGGCCCGGAAGAGGGGACTACTCACAGAAGGGGCCTGGGTGCACTTTCCGGGGGACTGACAGGGAGTCTCTCTCTGAGATTTCTCCCCTGTTTCAACAAGTCCTCTGCCTCTGGAAGGGGGAGGAAAACAGAAAGGGCTCCTGCTGCCTACACCATTCCCTTCACAGGCTGGGACCTGTGACAGGGCTCCCTGCTCGCCCCAAGCCCAGGCACTAACCTGTGACGGGGATTTTCAGTTAAAACAAGCGCTGCCCTACTGAGAGAGCCCGGCACTGTGGCATCCCCACCCTGAGCAACTGTCCAGGACTCAACTCTTCTCTTTAATCTCTCTCTCTCTCTCTCTCTCTCTCTCTCAACTTTTCTTTGCAACCCAACTTTTCTTTGCAACCCAACTTTTCTCAGACCCCACTTGAGACTCCCAGCCCCGCCCCCCTTTGGAGCACCTTTCACAGGTGGTGCGCCCACCCTTGTTGAGGGAACAGAAAGGGTCCCAAGCTGCCCGCAGTAGAGGCGGGGGGGAGGGGGCGAGGGGAGGGGATGAAGGGCACATTTCCCCCCTTTCAGGCGGGGCCAAGGGCTGTCAGCCCTTCGCAGAAGGAAGCTCCCAGGAGTGGGCAGCTGGGGAAGAGGAGGGAAAGGGTTGCGCAGAGCCAGGGGCAGG